CTCCCCTCCTGCATGTTTCCTGCCCTCAAACATTGGACTCCAATTTCTTCAGTTTTGGAACTGGGACTGGCTCTCCTTGCTCCTCAGCTTGCAGACAGCCTATTGTGGGATTTTGTGATCACATAAGTTAATACTTAATAAGCTCCCCTTTACACACACACACACACACATATATATATATATAAATATATATATATACACCCACTAATAGTTCTGTCCCTTTACAGAGCCCAGATCAATACAATCAGTAACTCTGAATGCCATGTCTGGCATCTCAGTCTCTGACTCCTAGACAGTAGAGGTCCTTTACACTAAACCATCAGCACAACCCTCCCTTGTCCCCACCCAAGCCAGCTCTTCAGAAAAGCTTGCGTTCACTCTAACCAGGAATGTTGTGCTGTCTGCACTCCATAAAACAATTGTTTTTAAAGTCATGTCTCATTTTGAAATAGATTTCACCCCCATAGAAAGTAGACAAGGACATAAACAGAGCATGAGTGAAACGTTTGGTTCAGGGCAAGATTGCAATCAGAGTATTTTAATGTGGTCAGGAAAAGAGCATGGATTTGGAGGAGTAAGCAGAGCTGAAGGGTTTCTTCATGAGGTGACTTTACAAGACCGGCAAGAATACATGAAGAGGGGTAAGGTCCCTGTGTGCCATTCATGGTGAAGCTCCGCAGTGCTGGCCTGAGCCCATCATCTCTGCAGACTGCCAGGGGTTACAAGCAGAACACTCATGCAATCTAAGCACAGGTTACTCAAGTGTTCATAGATTTCCTTAATCTTTATCATCTACCATGATGACAAACTCATGCCTTTTGCACAGTCACAAAGACATGACAATGTATGAGGTTGATTACAGGTGTTTTGCATAGCCCTGTCTCATTTCCAAAAGTTGTGAATGATGTTCTTTGGGAGTTGTGGGCATGTGGCCTCCTCCCAGGCCCGCGGTGGATCTTTATGAGCTGAGGCTTGGATTTAGTGACCCTCTGAAGCCCTGAGTGCTCTGTGTGGTTTTTAGAGAAAGCTGCTCTAGGCAACACTCTAATTGTCTGCTTATATGTACTACCACTCTCTGGAGAGAGTTCTGATCATTTCTCATTGTCACTTCCTTTAGTTTTGGTTGGGTCCTAGAAAATTGTTCTGGTTTTGCAGCAGTTTAAGAATGTTAGGAAGGATTTCATCTGACTCTCTGCTTCAACTTTAGGGAAATCACTAATTGTCACAAGCCTTAATTTGCTCAGCTGTAAAATGGCAATAATAATGACTATTTTATAATATTATTTTGAGTAGCGAAGGAGGTATACTTGAAAGTATACTTGAAAGCCTCAGATAAAGCCTTTATATTCAATAAGCTTTCAATAAGTACTAACTGAGGTTGCGCATGGTGGTTCAAGCCTATAATCCCAGCACTTCGGGAAGTCGGGGCAGGGGGATCACTTGAGCCCAGGAGTTTGAGATCATCCTGGGTAATATAGTGAGCCTCATCTCTGTTAACTAAATACATTAATTAACTAATGGGAACTGAACCTCAACCTGAAGTATTCTGAATCTTCCTAACACAGAGAGTCAGTGAGAAACACGTTACTCCATCTGATAAAAGTTCAAAGGAAAAAGACACAGCCTTTTACAGTTTTTTAAAAAGATATTTTCCTTACTATCAAAAAAGATGGTATGTTTTCTTAGGACCTTTTATACAGCCTTACAGTGTTAAAAATGTCTTTCTAAAGCCTTTCATATTTTATCCATCTTCCATTGTCGTTTTTGCCTTTGTTTTCTTGAATTTAATCTTTGTCTAAAAGTAATGAGGTAAAGCATTAAGATTCATTTCCTAAATACTGAAATGTCTCTCAATTCTCTCTACTTTTGTCCCCTTTCTCTTTCATATATATACCCACACACACGTGTGTGTGTATATGTGTGTGTGTGTGTGTGTGTGTGTGTACATATATTATTTTTTTTTTTTTTTGCAGAGGAAGGGTCTTCCTTTGTTGTTCAGGCTGGTCTTGAAATCCCAAAGTACTAGGATTACAGGCATGAGTCATTGTTCCCAGCCTCTTCCTCCCTTTTTCTGTAACAAATTTGTGAAGCATACAGACTGTCATGTTTAAGTCAATGAATGTCTTTTTACAATGAAAGAAAAAGTGAAGTTTACAACCTCTTAATGCTCAAACACTAGATGTTCAGAGGAGTGGTGATGTGAGTCACCTACACGTCAGCATGAGCAGTTACATTTAGAATCTGAAGGAGTCTGTTGAAATTGGTAAACGTATTTGTGAGAAATGGGTCAAACTTGCTCTGCGTAAGGTGCCTATCTGCTTTCTTAATGTGCAGAATTCCCCAAAATATATGCTCTCATCAAAGGCTCATGGTATAGGATTGCTCACAATCAGAGAAGCCATGATAATGCAACTTCAGGGAGCATGTGTTTGGGGTAGAAGGAGTGGGGTAGGAGGAAGCTGAAGACTTAAAGCAAACTCACTGAAGGAGCTAGCAGGATTTGCCTCCTAAAGATAGTGAGATCATTGTTGTAAAATGAGAGGGAAAGGAGAAGGAAAAAGGATATATGCTTTACCTGTAACAGGTGTATTACAAGGATCGCCATAAGACATAAAATCTACTGAAGTCCCCCAATGAGAAATCTGGGAATCAGTCCAGGTGCAGTGACTCATGCCTGTAATCCCAGCACTTTGGGAAGCCAAGGCAGTCGCATCACCTGAGGTCAGGAATTGAAGACCAGCCTGACCAACATGGTGAAACCCATCTCTACTAAAAATACAAAAATTAGCTGGGCATGGTGGTAGGTGCCTGTAATCCCAGCTACTCTGGAGGCTGAGGCAGGAGAATCACTTCCACCCAGGAGATGGAGGTTACAGTGAGCTGAGACCATGTCATTGCACTCCAGCCTGGGCAACAGAAGCAAAATTCTGTCTCAAAATAACAAAGTGGGGGGAGCGGGGAGAGAGAGAGAGAAAGAGAGAGAGAGAGAGCGAGAGAAAGTGAAAAATCTGGGAATCAGAAAAAATATGGGACTGCACCCAGTACATCTGCGGGGATAGCTAGGCCTCAGCATGCCCCCTCTCATCCGAGACAAAGAACAAGGTAAAAGCCTGAAGTTACGGAATTGGAATTTGGTTTTCATATAGGGATCTTCTGTTTTCTAAGCTTTGAGAAGCACTGAATGAAAAATCTCACCAACAGAACTCTTGTTGAACAACGTTCAACATGTGTATGAGCTAAGATCAGATGGTTTGTTTGTTTTTGTTTGTGGAGGGGGCGCAGAGGAAGGTTGTAAAGAGAGGTGTTAATGAATTTGCCCTTGCTTCTAGAAAGAAGGACAGAATACTGTCATCTTTGAGAAAGACAAGAGCAGGCATATCGGGGGCATAACCAAAGAGCCTGGTCACAACATCTGCAAAACTCCCAGCAACAGAACACAGAAGACAAAGGCAGTGGCTGGGGGGAGGCATGGCAGGGGAGGTGGCGGCAGGTGAACGTTGGGATGGAAAAGTGCCAGTGTGCAGCGCTGTAGAACCAGCTTACAGGCCCTGCACTGGCGGTGGCAACAATAACCCAGCTAACAGGAAGAGCTCCAACCAGCAGACCAAAGATGCCACAAAGCTCACATCAGGCGTGACACAGAGGCTGCCAAAAAGTCTCGGTGGGATAGGACTTAAGGAAGAAATTGCCTGGCACAGTTTGCTTTGGTGATGTGTGCAGGGTTTTCTCCTGCTGCTTTCTGAATTATGGTGTGTTCTTTGTTTTCCTCTTTAATTTAAAGGAATAGCCTGGCCTGTTTCCACTCTCCTTCTAGTTCCCTCTTCAAATTCCAAATGTAGTCATTTTGGCATCTAGTTACTCTTTCAACATTTCCTCTGTACTGATAAGTAATGGACCAGTAGTATGAAGCTCTCTTAAACAAATTGTTCATTCTAAAGCCATTCATTTTTTCATGTCTTTCAATTTGAAATAGATAATTGCCTTATCATCGATGCTATTTGGTCAGCAATATTAACCAGTGTAAGGGAGTCCCATGAGTTAGAATAAAGGTCTAAAGAGACAAATATCACATGGGTCTGGGTATCTAGGGATTTTTAAAATGCAATTAACATAAATAGATTTTGATTGACCTAAGGGAGAAAAATGTATTGCATGAATACAGTAAAGTTTCTAGAATACAGAGAAATAATTGTACAAACAAAAAGATGTGGCTCAGAGGCCCACATCTGTGAGGTTAGATGGGTAGGTACTGTCATGAAGTGCTTCTCCTGAACGTGAGAAACAGACAAGAGAGCTTCCACAGGTGAAAGGAGATGCTATTATAAGAAAATAAGAAAAAGGATGCAGGCAGACATACACTACACAAGCACACAATTTAGTCAAATCTAAACTCCTAATTGTACAGATTTTGCTCTGTAAAATGTGTTGTATTCATTCTCCTAGCTGCCTACACTAGATGAGTAAGAAGAAAGGCTCAAAGCACTCATCTCTTACAGCCTAGATTGCAAAAATCATGCTGAGTAGCCATCTCCCCTTTCCATCTCCTTTGGACTTTGTCTTGCCCTTGCTAGTTTTCCAGAAGAACACAGTTCATAACCCTTCTTTAAAAAGTAGTTTGGTACAAAAAGAAAACACTGCTCTCAAAAATAAAAAAAGAAGTAATTTCAAGTTCTTTTGATTTTCCCTTTAGCTGTCACCTCACCCTATAAATACAGCAATATTCAACCTGGGGAGGTAGAAAAGAGATATATATCTTATCCTGTACAATGAAGAATTTTTACACTTTTGCTCAATATTTTATTTTATTTTATTTTGAGATGAAGTTTTTCTCTTGTTGCCCCCGCTGGAGTACAATGGTGCAATCTCAGCTCCCCACAACCTCCATCTCCCGGGTTCAAGCAACTCTCCTGCCTCAGCCTCCCAAGTAGCTGGGATTACAGGCATGCACCACCATGCCCAGCTAACTGCATTTTTAGTAGAGACGGAATTTCTCCATGTTGGTCAGGCTGGTCTCGGTCTCCCAATCTCAGGTGATCTGCCCACCTCGGCCTCCCAACGTGCTGGGATTATAGGCGTGAAACACCACGCCAGGCCTCAATCTTTTATTTCCTATTAAATTTTATTTCCTTTTATTTCCTAATTGCTCCTTATTTGTATTTATTCAGTAAGTCTTAACATTGACTGTATTTTCTTAAAAAGCTGAGGCAAGAAAATAAATTACAAGTTGAATCTAATGGTGTCTTTATTTCTGTTGACCATTTTTATATTCCAGAGATGAAAATCAGTATCCAGAATTGCTGCTATATATATTATCTAAAATGTCCAGTTTTGATAAAAAATTATGAAATGCAAAGAAACAGAAAGATGTGACCTCATACAAAGGAATAAAGGCAAGCAACAGAAATCGTCTGTAAGAAGGCCTAAATATCTAACTAAACAGACAGTACTTCAAAGCAGGTATTGGAAATACATTCAAAAGACTAAAGAAAGTCATATTTAAATAATTAAAGAAAATCATAATAATGTCTAATAGAGAATATCAATATTAGATAAAAATTATTTTTAAAAAACCAATGGAAATTCCAGAGCTAAAAAATAATAATAAAATAACATAAATTAAAAAATTTTCCCAGAGAGTCTAAGCAGTATATCTAAACTGGCAGAAGAAAGAATTTTTAAAAATCAGAAAACTTCAAAAATAGATCAATGGAGGTTATGAAATCTAAAAAGAGAGGAAAAAAAGAGAAGCAAAATGAACATAGTCTCAGAGAAACATGGGGCAACATTAAGCATTAAAACATGTACAAAACAGGAGTACCAGAAAGAAAGAAGAAAAAATATTTAAAGAAGTAATGGTTGAAAACTGCATACATTTGACAATAAACATCAATCTACACATCCTAAAAACTCAATGAATTCAAAGTAGGATAAATGCAAAGAGAGTCACTCCGAAACACACCGTAATCGATTGTTGAAACACAAAGAGAAAACTGTGAAAACAGCAACAGAAAATTAACTTGTTACGTAAGAAGAAATCCCGGTAAGACTCACAGCTGACTTTTCGTCACAGACAGTGGAGATCAGAAATCAGCAGGATGACATACTCAAAGTACTGAGGACAAAAGTCAATTAAAATAAATAGCAGAACTGTCTTTCAAAATTTAAGGCAAAATAAAGATATTCCTATATTACAAACATTGAGAGAATTTATCGTCAGCAGACCTTCCTTGTAAAAAGCACTCAAAGGTTTTTAGGCTGAAGAGAAGTAACGTTAGACAGTGACTTGAATCCTTGTATGTGGATGGGAGGATAATAAAAGATCAACAAGAATATAAAAGTGTGGGTGTAATATAAGCCCATTAGACCTGAAAAACAACTATAGAACATTCTATCCAGTAACAGTGGAATACACATCCCCCTTTAGCATATATGGAATATTTTTCAGAATAGACCATATTGCAGACTATAAAACAAGCCATAATATATTTAAAGGAATTTAAATCATGCAAAGTATGTTTTCCAAATAAAAGGGAATGAAATTTAGAATTAGAAGAAAAATTGAGAAATTTTCAAATATGTGGATATTAAACAACACATTCTTAAATAAGCAATGGGTCAAAGAAAAAATCAAAAGAGAAATAAGAAAATGATTTGAGACCAAGGAAATCAAAAGTCCAACAGACTAAAATTTATGTGATATAGCTAATAAAATTTGTAGAGGAAAATTTGTGGTTGTAAATGCATAACTTTTTTTAAAAAAGAAAAAAGGAACAAACTAAGTTCAAAGCAGAAAGAAAAAAATAAAACATATGAGTGAAAATTAAAAAAATAGAAAAATAATAGAAAAAAATCAACAAAACCAAAAATTAGTTTTTTTAAAAATAGAAGCAAGATTAACAAACATTTAGTTAGACTGAACAAGAAAAAGAGAAAACTCGAATTATGAAAATCAGGAATAAAACAGAGTGTATCACTACAAACCTTCTAGATAAAGGAAATTATAAGGGAATGATACAAACAATGTTACTGTTTGACAATTAATCACTAGTTATTGACCAATTAATTTACGTTAACAAAGTAGACAACTTAGATAAAATGGACCAATGTTGTTGTTGTTGTTGTTGTTGTTAAAACAGAGTCTTGCTCTGTCGCCAAGGCTGGAGTGGAATGGCGCAATCTCAGCTCAGTGCAACCTCTGTCTCCCGGGTTCAAGTGATTCTCCTGCCTTCAGCCTCCCAAGTAGCTGGTATTACAGGCATATACCACCATGCCCAGCTAATTTTTATTTTTATTAGAGACAGGGTTTCGCCATGTTGACCAGGCTGGTCTCAAACTCCTGACCTCAGGTGATCTGCCCACCTCAACCCACCAAAGTTCTAGGATTGCAAGAGTCAGCTACCGCACCTAGCTAGATACGAACAAATTCTTAGAAAGACAAAAATTACCGAAATCATCAAGAATAAATAGAAAATCTGAATGGACCTATAACAATCACCACAATATTTAATCAATAATTTACAAACTTCCCACAAAGAAAAGCCCAGGCCCAGATGGCTTTGCTGATAAATTCTACAAAACATGTAAAGAATAATGAACATTAATCCCACAAACTCATTCAGAAAAAAGAAGAAAAACTTCCCAACTCATTCTATGACACCAAAACCACAGACAACACAAAAAAACTAAAGACTAATATTAATTATGACTATAGATATCAAAATTCTCAACAAAATACCAACAAATTCAGAATTGAACTCAAATTTATTAAAATGTGAAAAGATTATCCACTGTGATCCAGTGGGATTTATCCCAGGAATAGAAGCTTGGTTAAACATCTGAAAACCTATCAATGTAATACATGATATTAATAGAATAAAGGAAAAAATCTACATCATCACCTCAGCCGACACTGAAAAAGCATTTAATACAATCCAGCAATCTTTAATGATAAAAATGTTCAACAGATTAATAATAGAACTCCTCAACTTAATAAAGGACATCTATTTAAAAAAAAAAAAACAAAAAAAAAACCTGTAGCTAACATAATGCTAGCATGGAAAGACTGAATTTTTCTCCCCTAAAATTAGAGACAATACAAGGATGTCTGCTCACCATTTTCATTAGACATTATACTAGAGGCTTTGGATAGGTGATTAGGCAATGAAAAGAACATTTAAAAAATCTAGATTGGAAAGGAAGAAGTAAAATTATTTATATTTGCAAATGGCATGACCTTGTACATGGGAAACCCTATGGGATACACTAAAAAACTACTGAAATATGTTTACACCGAAATATGTTAACCAAGTTTGAAGAATAGAAAATCAACAAACAAAAGTCAATTGTATTTCTGTAAACTATCAATAAACAATCTAAAATAAAATTTAAAAACAATTCCATATATAAGGGAATCAAATAGAATACTTAAATTGGAAAAAAGGTGGAAGAATTTTACACCAAAAACTACAACGCATTGCTGAAAGAAATTAAAGATTTAAGTAAGGAGAAAGAATCCATGTTTATGAATCAAAAGATCCATATTACCATAGAATGGTAATATTTCCCAAATGATGTAAAAATTTAACACAATTCCTTTAAAATTCAAGCTGTCCGGAGCAATCACACATGAGAAAGAAATAAAGGTTATTCACTTTGGAAAAGAGGAAGTCACACTATCTCTGTTTGCTGATAATATGATTATATACCTAGAAAACCCTAAAAACACCTCCAAAAGATGCCTCAAATTGATAAATGAATTTAGTAAAGTCTCCGGTTACAAAATCAATGTACATAAATTAATAGCACTGCCTTACACCAACAACTACCGAGCTGAGAATCAAATCAAGAACTCAATCCCTTTAACAAAAACTGCAACAAAAAAAAAAAAAAAAAAAAAAAAACTTAACCAATGAGGTGAAAGATCTCTACAAGGAAGACTACCGAACACTGCTGAAAGAAATCACATATGACACAAACAAATGGAAATATTTCCCTTACTCATGAATTAGAAGAATCAGGATGAAAATGACAATACTGCCCAAAGCAATTCACATATGCACTTCAATTCCTATAAAAATACCAGTATCATTTTTCACAGAATTAGAAAAATTAATCATAAAATTCATATTAAACCAAAAAAGAGCCCAAATAGCCAAAGCAATCCTAAACAAAAAGAACAAGTCTTAAGGCATCACATTACCTGACTTCAAATTATACTACAAGGCTATAGTAAGCAAAACAGCATGGTACTTGTTATGAAAGTAGATACATAGATCAATGGAACACAATAGAGAACCCAGAAATAAAGTCAAATCTTCCAACCAACTGATCTTTGACAAAACAAACAAAAATATAAATTGGGGAAAAGATACCCTATTCAAGAAATTGTGCTGGGAAAACTAAATAGCCACAAGTAAAAGAATGAACTGGATCTCCATCTGTCATCATATATAAAAATCAACTCAAGATGTATTAAAGGCTCAAATATAAGACCTGAAACCATAAAGATTTTACAGGAAAACCTAGGAATAACTCTTCTGTACTTTGGCCTAAGGAAAGAATTTATCACTAAGACCCCAAAAGCAAATGCAACAAAAACAAAAATAAATAAATGAGACCTAATTAAGCTAAAAAGCTCTGTACAGCAAAAGAAATAATCATTAGGGTAAAGAGACCACCCACAGAATGTGAGAGAATGCTTGCAAACTATGCACCTGACAAAGGACTAATATCTAGAATCTCCAAGCAACTCAACAAATCAGCAAGGAAAAAACTGATAATCCCATAAAAAACTAGACACATCTAAAAATAAAATATACAAATGGCCAACATATGAAAAAATGCCCAACATCAAATCACAGTGAAATACTACCTTACCCCAGCCAGAAGGGCTACTATTAAAAAGTCAAAAGACAATATAAGTTGGTATGGATGTGGTGAAAATGGAATGATTATACGCTGCTGGTGGGAATGTAAATTAGTATAACCTCTATAGAAAACAGTATGGAGATTTCTCAAAAAACTAAAAGTAGATCTACCATTTGATTCAGCAATCCCACTACTGGGTATCTGCCCGAAGGAAAAGAAGTCATTGTATCAAAAAGAGACCTGCATGTGTATGTCTATTGCAGCACAATACACAATTGCAAAGATATGGAACCAACCTAAGTGCCCACCAGTCAGTGAGTGGATAAAGAAAATGTTGTACGTATACACAATGGAATACTACTCAGCCATAAAAATAATGAAATGTCTTCTGCAGCAACTTAGATGGAGATAGGGGACATTATTCTAAGTGAAGTAACTCAAAAATGGAAAACCAAATACTGTATGTTCTCACTTATAAGTGGGTGCTAAGCTATGAGTATGCAAAGGCATACACAGTGGTATAATGGACATTGGAGACTCAGAAGAGGGGAAAGTGAGAGGAAGGAGAGACATATAAAACTATATATTGGTTAGGCTGTACACTACTCGAGTGTTAGGTACACTAAAATCTCAGACTTCATCACTATACAATTCATCTATGTAAACAAAACCACGTGTATCCCCAAATCCCACGTGTATTTCAATAGCTTCAATCTTTTTATTATATATATATACTCAATATTTTTATGTAAACATATATAACAAAAATGAAAATAAAATTCCAGCTGACTTCTTTGAAGAAATAGAAAAACAGATCCTAAATTTTATGGAAATGCAGAAACCCAGACTAACCAAAACAATATTTAAAAATAAGAAAAAAGTTGGAAAACTCACACTTCCTTATTTCAAAATGTACCCTAAAACTATTGTAATCAAGACAGTGGGTTCTTGCCACAAAGATGGACATATAGGCCAATGAAGTAGATTTAAGAGTCCAGAAATAAAGCCTTAAATTTATGGTTTATTTTCAACAAGAATGCTGAGATAATTTAATAAGGCAAGATGTCTTTTCAGCAAATAGCGTTAGGACAACTGACTGAAGACAAAAGAATGAAGTAGACTTCTTTAACTCCATACAGAAAAATTAACTCAAATGAGTCAGATCAAAATGTAAGAACTACACCTATAAAACTGTTAGAATAAAGTATAGGAGTAATTCTTTGTGATCTTGAATTAGACAATGATTTCATAGAAGATAAGATGCCAAAAGTACAAGCAATAAAAGAAAAATAGATTTAATATCATCAAAATTAAAAACATTTGAACTACAAAGGATACCATCAAAAAGACAACCCACAGGATAGATGGAAAGATTTGTAAATCAAGTACCTGATAAAGGACTTATATCCAGAATATATAATGAACTCTTAATACTCAATGATAAAAATACAACAAAATCATTTTAAAATGAGCAAATCATCTGAATAAACATTACTCCAAAGAAGATATGAAAATGGCCAATAAGCCCATGAAAAATGTTCAAAACAAAACAAAAATTATCCACTTAGGCAAATGTAACTCACACCCACAAGAGATAATAAATATATCACTACTGTAACTATTATCATAAACAGAGATTATAAAAACCAGTGTTGGCAATAATGTGGAGAAATGAAAACTCTCATCCATTGCTAATAAGAATGGAAAAGGTACAGCTACTTTGGAAAACAGTTTAGAAGTTCTTCAAAATGTAAAACATACCGGTAAGTCACCATTTGACCCAGAAATGCCCTTCCTAGGCATATACACCGGAAAAATGAAAACAGATGTCCACACAAAAAACTTGTATATGAACGCTCACAGCAAATTTATTCACAGCCCAGAAGTGGAAACAACCCAAATTTCCTTCAACTAATGAGTGAATAAATAAAATGTAGTGTTCCCAAACAGTAGAACTTGCTTCAGCAATAAAAAGGAATGAATTATAGACACATATTACAACACAGATGAATACTATGTTAAGTGAAAGAAGCCAGTCACAAAAGACCACATATTGTATGGTTTCTCTTAAATGAAATGTCTGGAATAGACAAGTCCACACAACAGAAAGGAGATTAATGGTTAACTAGGGCCTGGGGGAGATGGAGGAAAATGGAATTATGAAAATGTTCTACAATGAGATTGTGGTTGTATTTGTCTGCCCAGGCTGCCATAATAAAATACTACAGACTAGGTGGATAAGCAATAGAAATTTATTCTCTCACATTCCTGGAAGCCAGATGTCCAACATCAAGGTGTCAGTAGGTTTGGTTTCTCCTGAGGTCTCCATGGCTTGTAGATGGCTGCCTTTGCAGTCTGTATGTTGACTGCTTCCAAATCTTCTCTTTTCACAGGGATACCAGTTGGATTAGGATACATCCTTGTCCAGATTTACCTATTCATACTAGATTAGGGTGTATCCATATGAGCTAATTTGACCTTAATCACCTCCCTAAGATCCCTATTTCCAAATACACTCACATTTTGAGGTACTTGAGGGATAGGATTTAATATGTGAATGACAGGGACATGATTCAGCCCATAGCAGTGGTGGTAGTTGCACAACTCTGTGAATATATTAATAGTCATTGAGTTGTGTCATTATTTTTATTTTATTTATTTATTTATGAGACGTAGGGACTTACTCTGTCACCCAGGCTGGGGTGCAGTGGTGTCAATTTGGCTCACTGCAAACTCTGCCTCCTGGGTTCAAGTGATCCTTCCACATTAGCCTTCCAAGTAGCTGGAATTACAAGCGTCCTCCACCACTCCCAGCTAATTTTTGTAATTTTAGCAGAGACAGGGTTTCATCATGTTGTTCAGACTGGTCTCAAACTCCTGACCTCAAGTGATCCGTCTGCCTCAGCCTCCCAAAGCGCTGGGATTACAGGCGTGAACCACAGCACCTGGCTGAGTTCTGTCCTTTAAATGGATGACATTTATGGTATGTGAATTATATCTCAATAAAGCAATTGTTTTAAAAAGAACAATAGCGTGAAAAAGAAAAACAGGGGAGTTATTTAGAATTTTCAAGCAGGAAAGTGAAATGATACAATCTGAGTTATATAAAAATTGCTCTGAGTTTGAGACCAGCCTGGGCAGCATGCTGAGACCCCCATCTCTATAATAAAACTTTTTTATTTTTGAGATGGAGTGTTTGCTTGTTACTCAGGCTGGAGTGCAGTGGTGCAATCTCGGTTCACCACAACCTCTGCCTCCTGGGTTCAAGCAATTCTCCTGCCTCAGCCTTCTGAGTAAGTGGGATCACAGGCATGTGCCGCTATGCCTGGCTAATTTTGTATTTTTAGTAGAGACAGAGTTTCTCCATGTTGGTCAGGCTGGTCTTGAACTCCCAACCTCAGGTGATCCGTCTGCCTTGGCCTCCCAAAGTGCTGGGATTATAGTCGTGAGCCAGTGCACCCCGTCTTTTTTTTTTAAGTAGCTGGGCATGGTGGTGTGTGCCTGTAGTACCAGCTACTTGGGAAGCCAATGAGTTTGAGGCTGCAATGGGCTATGAATCATGCCACTGCACTCCAGCCTGAGAGAAAGAAAGATATCCTGTCTTAAAAAAAAAGTTGCTCTGGTAGCCACATCTAAAATGAAAGTACAAAGAGGCTTGGACATAAAATGGCCAACTAGGTAATTACAATAATCCAAGTTGAGCTCCTGGAGGTCTCAACTAGCCCAGAGGCACTAAAATAAGAAAGAAGGGAAGAGGTGTGAGTGACTTTACCTGGTTAGGTGCAATCCCCTCCCAGAAAACAACTCTAAGGACAAGTTTCAAGGCTGACTCCACAGGCTGGTTGCACCAACAGCTCGTGTGATTTGCAGGATTCTAAGTCTTGCAGAACCTTGAAGGCCTGACCAAATGCAGTGCCTGGATTTTCCATATTGCTTTGTTTTGAACTGTGTCTAAAGCTTTGAGTAAAATAAAGCCTTTGCTTCCGTGTTACTTAGAAGGAGAAACCCATGAGATCCCTATCATTCGCTGACATATTTAGCACAGATAATTCGGAGGGATCTGTTGGTCATTTGTCAGGCTCTGAAGGCTGCAACAGTCTTGTGGGATCTGTTGAGGAGAAGGCTAGAATGACAGAGACAGAGCACACATGATGATGGGCTTGCAAGGGCTGCCCTATGAGGATACCAGGAGGGACAGAGCTTGCACAGCTCAGAGGGCAGATAGGAAAGGCAACGAAAACCATGTCCCCAGGCCTGGCACAGTTCTGTATTGGGATATGGGTGCAACCTTGACTAATAGTGTAAGAGTTTTCTATGTTTATTTCCCATAGGTTCTTGGTTTGGAATTCGGTTTTCTAATACTCTTCACTGCTATAGCAAGAGTCACTGTAGTCAAATGCAACCAACTTGAATAAAAACGTATACATAAGATGACGTTCACACTGCGCGTGCAAGCATGTGTGAGTATACACCCACCTTCTCTCTCATTCTCTCTCTCTCTCTCACACACACACACACACACACCAAACAAATTCTCCAAGAAAATCTGGAAACACACATTGCATCTTGGGGGCCCTAGTCTCTCTCACTGTCCTTGTTCTCTCCTCTGTAAAGAGCTCAGTTCCCTCCACTCTTCTACTCCTTCTCCCTCTCACAATCTGTTTATTTAAAAAACTGGATTCTAGTTATTAAAATACAGAATTCATCCCGGTGTAATGAAAAACAGAAGGAGATCAACCCTTGACATTCTCCATTTGATCTAGTGGCTCTAGCACTGACCAAGGGTGTAAACTGGGAGGACCCGTCGTACTGTCTCTGACTCTGTTTCCTCATTTAAAAAATAAATATAGCAGCATCACCTGCT